ACTTTATACACATGTTTTTTTTTATTTTTATTTTTTGGGGGGTGGTTTACACAACTAAATTAATGAAAATATATTTACTATTTGATAATTTAATGCAAAGAAAAAATACATTTAATTATTGTATGAAACATTGCTTTCTAATCAGAACCTGAAAAATTAGCCATCTAAAACTACAAAATTTTGATTTGAACTATGGAAACATGTGTGCTTCCTCTCCCATGCAACCAATTCTGGGCTTAAGTAATTCAGGTTTACATCAAAATCCCAGCTTAATCCCTTATCAGTTTTGTGCAATAGGCTGATGAGCTGACAGATGATCTGAGGAGGTGGACAAAACAAACTAAATCACTGCCATCCTTAAATTACTTCAACCTCAAAATTGTCACAGGACTTCATGTAAATGTTGTTTTTAACCCTTTAAATTGCCGTTACCTCTGCAGTTCATGGCTAGTCTGTCTGAAATATTAGAATATTCCTGGACAAAATCTGTGCTTGGAGTTTCATACCTGAGATTAAAAGGAAAAGTTGCTTATAAAGCAGATAAGGAACACACTTTGTTTCTAATTCTAATGTGTTTCTAGATGATAACAGAAAGGTAAATAACAGTATTCAAGTTAGCTATAAAACCTATAAGACTAAGGTTGTAACCAAAGTTAAAACAAGCGTTTCTACAGTCAGCAGTCATGTAGTTTTTAGTTCCTGTAAAAGGTGTATGGGCAGCGTTGGAAGTTGTGGAATGGTTTTAGTTGTGTAACTTAATGAAACTGTTTTTTCCCAGATAAACGTTTCTTTATGTGCTGTACATAGCTGCAGCCTGAGGCATCTGACAAACACATTAAATGTCTGATTATGTGACTGTACAAACAGAAAAACACAAAGCAGCGTTTCTTTTACCCTTTCCAGCAGGGAGAGCGTTGCTTTCAAGGCTCCATCTGGTCGTCCAAAAGGAAAACAGTACCTGCAGAAGCAAAACACAAGAAGGCATCACATTTAGAAACAAGCTCAAGGACAGCCACGAGAAGGGGAAAAAAAAAAGAAAGAGACAAAGAAGAAGAGCAAAATGAGAGACATGCAATCCATGTTAGTGAGCATAAACAGATGGCTGCCTTCTTTTGTCTAATTACTCTGACGAAGGAAGCTTTTCTCACCTCCTGCTCCATCTGAGCGCAGATGAGGGAGTTCATGAAGGTTTCACGTTGCTAATTGACAAGTGAACAGTATTTAAAACACAAAGAAAGCAGTCACACAGGTCAGCCATTTATGAGACAAAACCCAACAAGCAGATGTTCTGCTCCAAGGAACAAAAGTGACAAATTGAGAGGATAAAAAAAAACAGGCCGATCAGGCACGATTTGGTCTGAACATGTTTGTGAGGTAAAGTCAGGAGCTCATGGTGTTCATTTAAAAGAAGAATTAAAATACATTAAAGAGCAAAAACTGATGAACGTGTTTGAGTGTTAAAGGTACGTCTTCCAAAACTTCAAGGAACAATTCAAAATCTGCATTTAACAAGAAAACATTTGAACTAACACTTGATTTGATTTTATTCAGATTAAAAAGCACTGTCAAAATATATAAAAAAAGTTTCTTTCTATTCGTCGAATATTTTAATAATTAAGGATGTTTTTGACTCTAGCTTTATCTGTACAGAAACAAGTTATAAAACTAGAACTGCAAAGCAGTTATGACCGGGGTCCAAGCCCTTTTATGCATGTCAGCCTTTGTCATGTTGTTTGTAGCATAT